GATGAGGCGAGCGATACCGTCGAAACTATGTAAGCCATCAACTTGAAAAAGGTCTATAACATTCTTACAAACTATACTGAGTGTTCATAGCTAGGTTGAAAACAGTCGATTGGAAGGTAAAATTTACAGTAATAAACTGATACAAAACCTCGCCAGTCATACATGTGAATCAGTCAGTAACAAAAACTTTAGGAAAAACGTTGGAACAAGCAGCGCATCCACGGGGTCAATCTGCGCCTCAGGAAACATACCGTCGTTCGTGGTTAGCATCAAAAGTCGCCAATCCGTCAATCGGGCTGCGTCACCGTGCCGTTCCCTACCTACCAGTCCGAAATCCTCTATAATGAGTGACATTAGAAGAATCGTATGCGCACTATGAAATATGGAAGGATCTGTGAACATGGAGCGTACGCTGAATAAGAGAAGCGCAGAATTTTTTTTAAAACATAAAAAACATAATCATGTTGCTGTGCAGGTTCCAAATTGCGAGAAACTGTAACCGATGTGACCTTCATAGAGGTGACAGCGAGTTGAGAAAAAATTAGGCGTCGTTTTATGGGTGCGTCACAAAAATTGGAAGTTCTTACGAATTTGTTAATCATCATCGAAATAATCAAATGCACATCTGATCTACACGGCTTATTAGGCCCTGATGAAGGGTCAGAACATCCGGTTTTCCTTCTCCCTTTTCGTCCACATGAGTATGGTGCCCAGTTATCTATGTGAAGGGATAGCTGACCTATTTTGCTCAAACCTTGGAGCCTTGCCAATGACCTTACATACATTTGACAGTATCTTTAAAAGCCGTACAATTTAGAAGCGCCCCATTTGTAAGGCATATTGAGAAGCAAACTCAATGGTATTTGTAATCAACCAGAAATCTTTATTTAACTGCTCTTTTAACGGTGGTATGATGTTATAAATTATGTATACAATAATGCTGAGTGATATGCAGAACTTTGGACTTCAGACGATAATCGAACCCGCACTTCACTCTCCGGGAGTGCGTGTTAGCCAACAGCCCTACCGAAGCTCCTGTTCTACCATTACTCTGCGCCACGAGGTAGCTCATCTCTGAGCAACAAATTTCTAATAGTTTGGCCTGGTAAGCACAAATGAGCTTCAAACTCAGTTACGCTAAGAGGTATTGGATCCTGTAATGAACAAGAATTCTTTCAACGGTGGAATGTTGTTATCTTGTATTCAATAATGTTAAGTCGCATACAAAACTTTTCGACGGTATTTATGAGATACCTTATAATAGTCATCTGAACATAGCGCCTTTAACTCAGCCTCGGTCACTATTTCTTAGTGATGGATGCTCACAGTGGGCTTAAGTCCACCATGAAGATACCATACTGTTCTACGCGTGACAGTCTTAGCCTTCTTTTAAATGTTGACAACTTGTAAGGTTGCCGTCGTCTGAGAAAAAAACAACTTAGCTGGTAGTCAGATACACGATGACGGCTTTATATTATCATTTATTCTAAGGTTCTACAAGATAGGTATTACCAATCCTCTGAACGACATCACTAGAAACGTCATGATGCTAACAAGTAGTAGGTATCAAATAAATAACAAGAAACCGCTTTTAATAACGAAACGATCTTACAAATATATTTCCAACACTGTTAAGTGGCATGCAAAACTTTGAACTTTGGAAAGGATTGGGACCCGCAATTCACCGTTTCCAAGGGCATGTGTTAACCACTGCACTACCGGTGCTTGTTCTGCCACCACTCGTTGTGCGACACTTGCCAGGAAGGGTGAGATGCAGATTCGAATCCCATCCCATTTTTAGAGTTTCGCATGAATGAGAAAAGTTCTAGGATAAAGCTCTCGGCGTTGCCCTGAGGGATGCGCCATACATTCGTTTTCAATTTTTGATTTCGCTTAAAGTGTTTGAATGCATTTCTGACCTTTACAATGACTTGCGGTGGTCTACCGCTGTAGAATCAGTACTCCTTATTCTCCCAGGCTAGTCTAAGATCAGTGTACGAATTTACCAGACCCGGAGGGAGGATGGCTTGGTGAGCTATGAGCGCGAGATCAAGCCATCGACCTCGTGTGCGACGCAGGGCACCTCTAACCACTGCTCCACATGCTCTCCTAAATATGCATATCACCTAACAATATTGTTTAAAAGTCTCCAAAAGGTCCCCCTAAGAAAAAGGAAACGGGTAATGCTCAGATATGATGAAGACTATTGATAAAGTTGTATGCTACGCATTTAACACAATAGAATTTTATCGAAGTAACATTCTCATTTGGTAAGATTGATCTGAATGGACGTCATCTATTGAGCAGTCCGAAATTATTGCTAAAAATAAGGCTCAAAAGAGAAGGAGGGAGGGGAGGGGGGCGAGGGAAGAGATATGGTGGGAAGAGCACCTTAGCATATTTGTTTTAGAACAAATTCATGGTACGCATGGTAGAGCAGGAGCAAGGGAGCCCAGCATTGCGCATATCGTTTTTGGTTCAATAATGGGCCCCGATATTCTCAAACCCTTCCTTCTGTGGCGACTAACTGATACCAGACTTGCCTGGTAAGATATCAGGGCTAACTTGACACACTGTCAACCCTTTGAGAACCAGCGTTTATAGGCAGGCGGAGTCGCGCCATCGTTTTCTCACGAGACGCGAAATCGCTACTGTGGTGGCTGAGTGAGGTTTGACGTCGCGCGGCACGGTACGGAACGTACCGTTTGGTCCCTGAAGGGCTAACCACCGCAAGTCACTGTATAGCTAGCTGACATGCATATATATGAGATAGTTTGATGCCAACAGCTGGATACCTTTACGACCTCGTATTTACATTAGAATACGCAGTCAATAACGCATTTAGCTGCCTCAAAAAGAAACCTCAACCAAGCACCAAAGACACAACCCGACAATTTTTATCAACACATTCGAGGATGTAAGGACAACGTATTGTCTGTAGGTACAGTGATTATGACTTTTTCATACAATTTATGGTTTTTTCTATTATGAGGGAACAAATGGATATTCGATCATTCTCTGTATAAGAATTTTTCATAGGAGTGTTAGCAATCATTCGAAAGCTTGGATCTTTGACTAGTGCGGTTGCTGGCTGCTTTTTCAAAACCTCTGTAAAACGCTGTAAAAGCCAAAATAGTATTAATTTCCACACGATCACTCGTTTTGTTCTTCTCTCGCTTATATTTCGCCCGTCAAAACTCCCTCAGATGCTAATACTCTTTCAATAGCACAAGTCTCGAGGAACTCAAAAATGTGCTTCCTTTTTGGAGAAGCCTTTGTTCTCTTTGTAGGAGTAAGATAACATTCACGTTTTACACCTCGCCGGACAGTCTCTCTCTCTCTCTAGACTACTAGTAATCACTCGATAGCGTAACTTTCAATGGTTCCAGCACTGTGCTTATTTTCTGGATAGACCGTTTCACTGCAATGTAGCAAGGAATATAAGATCGAGTTTCACTTATTCGACGCTCTTGTTTGACGGCTAAACTGCGGGCTAGGGGGCGCCGCGATCGATCGATCGATGTCTGACCGTTAAATTAGTGGGGTGCAACTTATTATTCAACTGAAGAATTTTCGTCCGCTTTGGAAGAAACTCCAGAAACAACGACTGAATCAGATATTACGAAACTTCCTCTACACGTTCATATGCTTTCCGTGATTCCAGCGAATCATACGCGTTATGAAAGTGAAGGCGCGCGGCAGGTGTGAAACAGAACTTTATTCTAGAGCTTATAGCGCGATAAAAAGACCTCTTGAACACTGACTATGTAGGGTCGTAGTCAAAGAATCAAGCTTTCGAATGAATACCACCACTCCTAGGAAAAATCCTTGTACACCGAACGAAATCGAATTTTCAGTGGCTTCCTTATAACCGAATTGATCCCAATTTCTTGTAGCCTGTCGAGCCTCTTCTAGGCAATTTTCTGATTTTCCTATGCGAGAGATGTAATGACGATCTCAAGATTTTAATTCGCCGCTTCAATTCCGACTACAATTTTTTTCATTTTACGCGACCCGTTATCACACGTTTCACTGTGCGGATCCCAGCACTTACATTGATGCCTTCCCTCGGATTCGGGTCTCTTTAAACTTTGAACAGTTCATGTCTTGCTGCGGCCTATGTTTGAGCTTTTCGTCTTTTCTATGAATGTCGTAGATCAGAATTCTTTTCATCTGACCACCACTTGCGGTGGTATGATGTTACAATATACCCAATAATGTGGAATGCTGTGCAAAAACATTTGCGTCAGTCGGGATTCGAACCCAGATCTCACTATTTCCGAGAGCGTATGCTAACCGTTGCACCACCGACGCTCGTTTTGCACAGCACTCTTTTTAAGCTACAACGCGTCATCTGTCAACGAAAAGAGTGAGATCTGGGTTTGAATCCCGGCTGACGCAAATGTTTTTGCACAGCATTCCTTATTATTGGGTATGTCGTAGAATACTGGTCGAGACGATCTCCCTTGCAACGGAGGAGAGCTAGCCTGTTCGCTCCCCGGGCTTAGTTGATTGATTGCAAGAGAGTGTTGAGGGAGCAGATCGAACGAGCGCCCTGTTTGCTGATACACTGCGTCACTAACCACTGCCCTACCCCGCCCACCAGAATTCGCTCTCCCATTGGTTGTTTGCGAATAGTGTGTCAGAGCGCAGATGCTATGTTATTTACAAATCAAGTAATATCGATTGATATACAAAAGTTGGAGCGCATGTGGCGCAGTGGTTAGAGGTGCTTCGAGTCGCACACGAGGTCGATGGTTCGACCTCGAGCGTGGCTCACCAAGCCATCTATCACTCCCGGCTCAGTGAATTGGTACCGAGGTCTGAGAGGACGAACAGCACTAACTTGACGCAGCGGGAGGCCAGCGCGAGTCATTGTAAAGGCCAGAAATGCGTTTAGTCATCTCAAACGAGGTTAAAAAGATGAAAACGATGGCAGGGCGCATTCCCCAGGGGTTGATCAACGCCAACAGCTCTATCCTTCTTCATACAAAACTTTGAGCCATGGCCGGGAGTCGAACCATCGGGTCTCATCTTTTCCGGAGTGGTGCGCTGACCCACTACAGCGACCGCGGCGCTCCTGTAATCTATCACTCTCTCGGCGCTCGAGAGTATCGATTGTGTCGGCAACCAGGATAGACGTGGCTGAACGCGGGTTCAACTCCCGCCCGACGTGACGCGATTTTGCACGGTTCCGCAGACTTGCGTCGTCGATTCGTCGCACGGTCCTGACTCATCTCCCGATCGCCGTTCTGCTTCGATTTGATGCTCTATGAAAAATGGGAAAAACTCGTGCTTCGAAGTCGTCACCGTCTTTGTCCGAAGTGAAACGAGAGGTACGATCGCTCACACGCATTTCTCCATTGTTCACAAACCCTCTGACAACGCTTATCGATTGATTTTTATTGATTTTTCGGGGGAAATTTTGATCTCTTCCTCCAAGAGACATCGATTTGCTTCTCCACATATTTTGGCCGCATTGATCTCATGTGTTTATTCGAGTACAAATTCAGATATGCGAGAAAGTCGATGTAGGCTTTAGATATTCACGGACATAGACAGACAGATACACCTACATGTATATACATGGATATGTATAGATGTGAGCGTATATACATGTATATATACATATACATACATGTACGTACTTCTTCTCCAACGAGTGAGACCGGTTTCTCATTTGTACCCTTATAATTAGAAAGAACCGCTGAGTGATGTGCAAAACTTTGAACCTCAGACGAGAATTGAACCCGCATTTCACCTTTTTTTGAGGCGCGCGCTAACCAGCTGCGCTATCGAGGCTTCTCTGCAATCACTCTTTCTGCGGTGTGTATACTTATATAGATGCGTAGTAGTGGTTTTTTTTTATTTTACTGAGTTGTTCCCTCCTTGGTAGTAATAGTATCTATTGAGTACTAGTAATAATAGTATCTACTGAATACTAATAATGCTGAAAGGCGCCGTGGTCGAGTGGTTGTGGTGCTTGTCGTGGCGCACGTCGAGCCGAGCTCCATCCCCAACTCTCTCCGGCAGTCAACAACGGCGTCTTAGGGACCGCCTCGGCCTGGCTATCCTCGAGATTTCAGGGTGACACGCTCAGCCATCTCGACATTTCAGGGAGACTCGCTCAGCCGCTATTTTGCGAGGTTTAAGAAAAAGACGAAATAACGACTTGAATGCCAGAAGCTGGAATCGCGCAGTGGAAAAGGAAACTTTGTGAACTCGGACCAATGAAGTGTCAAAAATAGTGATGCCGTACAATAATACGGCATAGTGAGGCAGTACAAGAGCACCATAATATAACATAGTGGCTAGCGTTTCGACAAGTGTCTCGCCTTCTCCAGAGGGTGGAAAGGTCAATCTGATTTGCAATCCACTCCATCAAACGGCTCAAAAATTCCGGCAGTGAACGTGAGAAACGAGTTTTGGATCGCGTAGTAAAAAGCTTAGTTTTAGAAAACTCTCACCGTTTAGATGTTTCAGGTCTTCTAATTATTCATTGGAGACCAGAACCGCTTAGAGTAAGTAAGACTGTGCTTGGCTACAAGGTAAAAATACAGTCAGGCAAATGCATACTTATGCATTGACTATAGGCGGCTGTGGTCTCCAATGAATAATTGGAATACCTGAAACATCTGAACGGTGAGAGTTTTCTAAAACTAAGCTTTTTACTATGCGATCCAAAATTTGTTCCTTACGTTTTCTGCCGGAATTTTAGAGCCGTCTGATGGAGTGGATTGCAAATCAGATTGACCTTTTTCAGTCTATGAAGAAGACGAGACTTGTCGAAACGTTAGCCAGTGTGTTATATTATTGTGCCGCTGTACTGCATCACTATGCTGTGATATTGTACTGCATTACCGGTATTCAATGAACATCATTATTATTAGTAAGGATAGGACGGATAGGATGAAACGTGGGTTCGATTCCCGCTTGAGGCCGTGTATTTGTTCACCACTCAGTTCTCTTAGTTATATAAGTAACATCATAACACTGCGAAAAAAGCAGTATAAATACTATAATTTCGAATCATTAGATATAACAGTGGCTGTCAGCTTAACGGGATATATAAAGCGAAATCGCATATCCGACCAAACCTGTTAAAGGTTGGTGGCTGATAGCTAACATAGAGATGTTGAAGAATGAGTGGTCGGGCAAATGTGCCTCAGTGGTGTAGTGGTGGAGCACGCGTCCCCGGATGGGACGAGACGTGGGTTCGATTCCCGCCTGAGGCCGTATATTTGTTCACCACTCAATTCTCTTAGTTATTATCAGTCTCGGAACAACTTCTCAGGAAAAGAAATCCACCGATTAATTCTGACTATGCCGAGGTTAAAAGATAGTCGGTCTTGGGAAAATATGTAGCAGGCATGTAGGTATCTTCTGAACCGACACTGATAAAACCTCGTTCGGTTTAATCGAGTTTTTTTTCTTGATTATCTGATAGCTGGACAAAGCGTCCAACACGAAAATCGTGTCATCTGAATCCTAGTATGAATGCTTTGAAACTCAGGTTCTTGCGAGCTCTGTTGATTACAACTATTTTGGATTTTTTGCATCAGAAAAAATCGTATGTGAAGTGCTCTTTATCAGTTAGGAGCTTACACTCTGGTACTCTAAGCCTTTGTTTATGAATGATTAGTTGTTATAAGTGTAGCCGAGTGGTTAGTGATGTTGGGCGCGGTTCGACGCGGAATTGACCCACAGCCTACCAACACTCCCCGACAATCAATAACAAGTACACCCACTGAACGACTTAGCCTGGCTATCCTCGAGATTGCAAGGAGATATGCTTGATCAGTATTATGCGACGTTTGTGGGGAGGATGAAATACCCAAGCAACGAGCAGAGGAGTCGACTATTGGACTAGATTGTGCAAAACGTTTGTGCCTCGTTTTGGTTTTTTTTAAAAAGATTTTTGAAATAAAATTGTATGATTTTGGTGCCATTCAGTTGCGCATTTTCTTGCGAACATTTCAGTGTACAAATTGCCTATACTTACTTCAAGATGGAATTGTCTTGAGAACAAATCGCTTACTACTCATGCACGAATCGCGCGTAGGAAAATGCCATTGAAGCGGAGTGGGAGATTAATGGAACTTCCTTTGGACGGCCCGAGCGTGACTGACCCCCAGACTGTTTTCTCCAGCTTTGAATCCTCGCGAACCATTTCCTTGCCATCCTTTCTGCAACCGTATCATCGCCACAAGCACCATTAATCTTGCGCACCGCTTCATTAGCACTTTTCCCTGCGCGTCAGTGGCGCAGGGGTACTAAGCGAATTCGGACTAAGAGAGCTCCATCTCCAAGCAAGTAAAAGAACGTTGTATACAGAGATATTCTTAAAAAAATGCGCAAGTGAACGGCACTCAAATCGTGCTACTTCATTGCAAAAATCATATTAAAAAACTTAAATGGCACGAACTTTTCACACACTCAAGTACAGAGATCCGCAGAGTAGAAAAAAGAGTGTAATGTGTGTTGAATAAGGTGGTAAATTGAAGCGATCTCATGTCAGCTCAATGTCTGGATAATTACTTTAAAACCGAACTTCTGGGAGTTTTGTAAAATCAAGGTCTTATAGTACTGAGCAAAACGAGCGTCGGTAGTGCAACGGTTAGCGTACGCTCCCGGAAAGAGTGAGATCTGGGTTCGAATCACGGCTGACGCAAAAAAAAAAGAGCGGGTTTAGAGCAATCGGTGGCCATTATTGAAATACCACCGAATACTCTAAAACGCCAACTAGTTCGCAACCGCTTATATGACCGTCTCTGTATGATGAAAGATTGTAAAATATGTCCTAACGGCAGAGACGGTGATTGCATGAGCGTAGGTACAGTCTACCTAATCTCTTGCAAAGCGTGTAGTGATAAATATGTTGGCGAAACGGGTAGGCCGCTCTATGCACGCATAGAAGAACACCTAGCTGACAAGCGTCTTAATGGACGAAACACCCCGCTAGGGACGCATAGAGCACAGAAGCACGACGGAGTTGATTTTGAAATCGAAGTCACCATCCTTGCGCAGGAGCAAAAAACATCAGCGCGAAAGATCTTGGAAGCATTTTGGATTAATACGACTAATCCAACCATAAACCGCAGGGAGGAATGCCTTGTAAACACTCGTGATATGAGCCAGTATATAAGACTGTTGCTTTGATGGGTAGGGTGCATTACGAGCCTATGTGTCTCTCTTGCCGGTGATCTCCACTTGGATCATCCAGTGGAACACATATAAAAAGCGGTGAGTATGTTGAGTGTTGATTTTTGCTTGATGCGATTGAAATCTAGGTCTGGTAATTTTCTCTAAAGAAGTAATGGAGGTGTTTGACTGATTGTATTGCAAACATTTTGACCTTTCCAGGCTCTGAAGAAGGCGAACTGCCGAAACGTCAGCTATCGAATAAAGTTTAATGTAACACCTCGTGTTCTGCTCAAAGAAGAAAATCAAGAAGCAAACGTTTTTGTACAGCACTTCACATATTGGGTATACTATAACATACCACTGCAAGTATCAGTCAAAAAAGAATTTAGACTGGTTATCAAGGTCTTATATTTTCGAAAAAAGAAAAATATACATGGAACGCCCTCTATTCAGTTGGGCGCTTAGAGTTTATAATTAGTCTTGGCAATTGAAGCTGTTAGAAGCCATCTTGTTCCGCACTTCATTTTAGTTCGATTTTCCTTTCATTTTGTCCAATCCATATGAGTGATTCAGGGTCAGTTCAAGCAACCAACATCACAGCAAAACCAGAATGCTGTAGGAGGAGAAGAAGGTCAAGCCTCTAACGAGGGTGGTGTATCGGCAGGAGGAAATCGTACGCCTCTTATCGACTCATCCTCATCAATGATCAGTGACGATGAATGCCTTAAAACCTACCACGGATTCACGGTATGTTCCATCTGTTTAGTATCTCCATACCGATCTCTCACCTATTGAATTCCAGTCGATCAAAGATTTCAACACGGCTCTTCCATCAAATTTTCAAGAACGAATCGTTAGAGGTTTATTTTTCGATTAAATAATCAACTGTTAAGGAGAGTGTTGATGATTTTTTAAGGAGCACTTCAAGCTAA